GGAGCCGGACATCGACCCAAATTAGTAGAGCATAGAAAGGACTTACACTCCGTTTCCCTCCGCTCCAGCCCAATTAAAAGAGTGTATTTTAAAAGCGAGTATTTAACGAGGTTAAATTCTACATGCTTTGTTAAATATACTATATATCAAGCAGTTAGCATATTTTCGTCGTACATCCATCTGTCCGAATTTGTGCTATTTTACAAGTATTTTATTTGAATATGGCTAATTAAATATGTACATGATGTATATTGTATTAAAAATAAATTTTACTACGAAAAAAAAAATAGACAAATAAAACAACTAGTCAATGCATATTATGGCATTTTTCGCAACGATATTGTTCAAAGAAGCATAATTTGTGCCAAAAAGTCGGACCTTTTTTTTTTTTTTTTTTTTTAACGTTAACGCTAATTTTAGCCTAGGTGAATTTAAAAAAAATATATAAATATTTTTAAAAATATCCGGGATAGTCCAACTACAATATATACCGATACTGGTATAAACAGTATATTTGTGATCAAAAGCGGTTAAATTTATATTCAATAAATAAATGGCTTAAAATCGATCGATCATTAATATCCTAACCAAGAAATTCTATATTAAATATTACCGGTGGTGGCTATGCTCTGATACAACAAAACCTTTTTTTGAAATTAAAATGGCTTGGCCATAGTAAGAAAATGTAACGTGAATTTACAATTTAGGATTTAAGAGAGAAAAATTTTATGACTGATCCGAATTTAACGGATCTGATTAATTTTTGTGTGAAACGAAGATTGGTTGATCGCAATATTAAATAGGAAAAAAATTTCAATTTCACGACTAAACTTATTTATTCATCACTAACTTGAAGTAAATAAAATGTCAGGAGAACCCCCGAAACAAACGGCAATCAATATACCACCGGACGCACCCGGCGCACTTGCACAAACAGGTGCTATAGCGTCAGAAGGTGACAAAGGTAAAGATAATGGTGGAAAAGGCGGTGCAGGAGGACCAGGTGGACCAGGTGGAGAACCAGGCGGTGAACCAGGAGGTAGTGATATTAAAGCTGGAGAAACACTTAAAGACACACTTGAATTGTTGGATTCCGTACCCGTAGTAGAGCGCGCAAAAGATAAGGTCGAAGATGAATTGGAAAAAATTGATCCTGATACACCACAAGAAAGATCGGTAGAAACGGCGAACATTACAGCAAGAATCAATAAGTTAGATGTAGTAATTACAATTGGTCTTTATTATGCATCACTTATTACTGATTGGTTAACATCCTTAGGAAACTCAACATCAGTTGGAGAATTTTTTTTTAATATTTTTTTTGCATCTTTTAATCTCACGCAATGGAAATTTGGTCAGCTTGATTTAGTAGCAAGTATTTCAGGCATGACAACAACATTACAATCGGGAATTTTTGTAATTGCAGCATCAGTACATGCTATTGCAACGGTAACAAAAACCAAAGTGCCAAAACAATTAGCTGGGCCTTTGTACTTTGGAGGACCATTCCAATTTGTTCATCTTGTTAAAACAGAATATAATGATTATCATCAATCAACTAAAAGTTGGGATGCACAATTTTCTCAAGGGATCGGAATTATAAGTCAAGTATTAATTATTATCGCGGCGATTTGTGCAGCAAGCACTAGGATGGGACAATTAGGTGCCTTACAACCACTTGCTTCTGGAGACCCAAATGTTATTAACGCTAATTTCACACCACCTCATGGTACCGAAATTGAAGGAGAACCAATTAATGTTTCAAATCAAACTCAAGTGACATTAGCCGTGCAAAATGCAGCATTGTTCGCTACGACCACTTACGCAGTTTCAGTTTTTGCAATTATTATGTCATCATTGTTGAATGTTATTCAATGGTTGGCAGATATTTGGCGTGTCAATAGTGATGAAATTATCATATACTATTTATTCAAATATTGCACCAGGATCGTATGTTGTTATCCGTGTCTTGTTCTTATAAGAGGAAAAAACAAAGTGGATGCCATGGAATATGGTACCACTACAAATTCTGAGAAGGCTAATCCTTCATTACAATCCCCATTTATACCTTAAAAGCAGTCGTTATTGTAAGAAAGGGCAGAAATGTAAAAAATATTGTAAAGGGTGTACCTAGATGTCACGTGTATTTATTAATAAATATTTATACTTATACGTATATATCAATATAAATATGTATGTACAGTACGTACGTATATAATGTGTATATAATGTATATATAATATAAGGAAAGATAAAAATTCGTAGTTATGATGTAATTATTTATATAATAATTATGTAATGTCAAATTTTTTGGTGTATAAAAATAAAAACCTGGTGATTCCACCACTCTGACAAAAACTTAACAATGTCTTTTATTTCTCGATATGTCACGAAGCGAAATATTGTTTTACCAAAACTAGGTGTTCATCAAACCGATATTTCGAAAGTGCGGAAGCTTGAGCCTTTGATTAGTGGCTATAGTTATCGATGTTATGTGCCTCTCGGAAGGTATTGTACTTTATAAAGGATTATATAATTATACAATTTATTTATTTGTGAGTGCGTGGGAAGAGATTTTTTAAACTTTGTATCATTAAATTTTGTAAACAGTAACGCTTCTAATAATGATCCTTTGATCATCGAGAGAGAGAAGCATCGTCTTCTCAAAGGTTGTACTCAATTTCATTGATATATATTTTTTATAATTACCATGATTTAATTTTTATCTGTCAATTACCATAGGAAAAGTAGTAGGAAATGTGAAGCATGCTCCAGTTTGGAATGAAAGGTTGGCATCGGATAGTGAAGCAATAGTATGTTCATATAGATTTATTTCATACGTAAATTACTTTTCCGTACTCGCATTCATTTTTTTTTTTTTTCTTTATTATAAAGGTTAAGGCTGAACGGGAACCAGATTCATCATCGATGGATGACCTTCAACGTGAAACGCTCTCATATTTAAAGACACATGACATGGATGACACACCTGACAATGATGATTTCGTTGAGACGTTTAAGAAAAAAGTTGAAGTCAAACACAATGATAAAAGCAGCGAAGTTACTGAAGCTCACCAATGGAAAATGGATATTAAATAGATGTGCGAATTAGTTTTTTCGAGATGTATTTTTTTTTTTTTTTTTGTTTATGCTAGAATAAAATTTTTTCACAAAAATAATCACTTGTGATTACTATTTATGTACGTACACATATTTACATGTCACTTATTATTTCGTATATGCTTGTCACCAACTTTCAGTCTACGTACGTAGTATTTGAGCTTTGCTTAATCTAGCTAGTAGATTATTATTCTGCAAACTGTTCATGCATCCATTCTTTCTAAAAAATTATCTAGTTTTTTGCTGTTCTCTTTGTAAAGAAAATAAATTTATTAAGCTTTACTCGTCAAAGTTATTATACTGCATATATAATATATATATAATTATATTACTATATTTTTCAATTAATTCTTTTTGCATACGTATGTTATAATAAATTACTATATTTTTCAATTAATTCTTTTTTATATGGTACTGATTAAAACCAGTACGTACGTATATAGGCGCTTGCAAATTCTTTTAATAGTTCTGCCAGTGTCATGATGTCTAACACATGCCAGCTATGTCGTGCGTTATACTGTTTATATGATTGGTTATTTTGTTATTTGTCCGTAACTATTTAATAAAGTGATACCAAAAATTGGTTTTGATGCATTTATGATGTCACAAACATGGAGATTTATTTCTAGTAAATTATCTTTTACCGTTGCTAAAAATGTACGTATCACTTTTTTTAGTTCATATATAAATATGTTTTATTTAAAAACATTATTTACTTATTTGCTTAACCAATATTACTTGAGTGATCTAGATTGGTAAGCAAAAAAACGCCCATTCCCGCCATTTCGAGTTTACGATGCAAATCATTAAAATCATTATTAATAATGAAAGGGTCGACACATCAACACGTGATCTAACTCCCAACTTTAATGCTGGCCATTCTTTGTCGATAAATGTTGGTCAAAGGTGGATCGGCAATATTGTGTCGGTAGGGGTTGTGTTACGAAAATTACAGTTACAATAAATGTAATTTTTTCAGTAAATCAGTTCTCATGTAATTCTCATCACGTTATCTATCAATTACCAGCTTTACAAAAGTTCGGCCAGCGTTTTTGCATTATTCGATTTAAATCTATGATCGGAGCAAAATTACAAAAATGACGTAAAATTATGGTAATTTTACATCTCCAAATTGTATAATCAGATGTTATTTATTTACGCTATCTATCACAACACCCATGTTATTGGTGTAGATTTAAAATAACTCACTGTAAATTGGTGCATGGGCGTTATTTTGAGTCGTGGTCCGAATTAAGCTTAATTTTTTAGCCAAATTTCGAAATTACACAACTGCGACCCCAAAACTTCAGATCATGTGATTTAATAATCACGATGTATCAATTTATGTAATAACAGTTATACGATGCATATTAATAAAAATAACAAAAGTACAATTAATCTTTTAATATGAAAATATATATGATCTAAATTTTTTCTTTTAGGTGGTCTCAATTAATTTACACCCTTGAATGTTATTTCGAGAATTTAGGGTACGTAAGTAGGAATTGAAAAATGAAGGCAATAATAATTATATAGCATGTTTCAAAATAAAAATATATTGATGATATGTAATGTAATTTTATATTCCACATTAAGATTTTGCAACTTCATGTCTTGTAAAGTATTCGATAAAATATTTATTTTTTCAGTATTTAATTTTCAATAATTAATTCAGGGAACAGGTATTTCCACACCCGATTTTGGTATTTCCACACCATATTAAATTATAAATTATTGCTATGAAATTACGTGTAAAGATTGCGATGTGTGATCCAAATATTCCGGCTTAAAAATTGAGTAATGTAATATGCCACTTCATTTTTGCTGCAACTATAATACACTTTATGTATTATGCTCGTGATCAAGATGTGGAAATATCAAAATCGGGTGTGGAAATACCTGTTCCCTAAATTTATTATCGTTATTGAATAATAAGCAAATTTGGGTTAAAATCCCAAAAGGACATAACACTGACTAAATCGGTCAGCATTGTAGCTAGTCCGGCTAACTTTGTTGATATTATGTTCTTTTGAGAATCTGCTTTTCGGGATTTTGATCCAAATTCATAATAAGCTTAGTGACTTTACAGAAACCTGTATTTTTGCCAAATATATTTATTATATAACAATCATATAATCGTTATATCTTTAAAATACTATTTTTTAAGGATATATTAAAAATATATTAGGCATATATTGAAAATATATTAAATATATTTTTTATAGTTCTATTAAGTCTCTT